TCATTAATGTGTATATCAGATTTTACTGAAAACTGCTTTTGAAAACGTACATTTTCTGATGTTCGAGTAGTACATTTATTCACTTTAGTTCAGTAATAGAGGAGCTTTAAGCCACTTTTGCCCGTATCGTAACCCTAAAGAACAGTTCTTTTCATAGAACGTGTCATACAACATGAGGTTGGAAAGCATATGATTTAAATTCAAATAGAAATGTGTGATTTATTTCTGCACTTAATATCAAAAGAAAAAGCATCAAAGATACGATTAGGTAAAAAATGATGATCTTGTAAAACTGACACTTACTGTGAGAGGATGCAGTCTCTCATCAAAAATATCCAGGGATGTATTTGCATCTCTGCAAAGAAAAGTTCATCTAAGTCATTTATATCTTAGTTAAGTACCTGGTAAGGGTAGGGGACTATGGAGAAAGAGGCCTAACCTTCAACATATCAAACAGTTTTACAAATTCTTCTCCTTGATTTTGACCTTAAGACATCTCTTTGTTTAGTGCATCAAGTACTGTGAAGACTTTTCTAAGATAAGCAGGCTAAGTTCCTATAAGTAATGACACTTCATTATAGGCAATGCTAGTAAACCAGCAGTGCTAGGTATTCAAACTTAGAAGTGTAGTAAATGTGAATGAGATTTAGATTCTCCAAAGTTTTCTTTTCTTCAGTCCTCTATATTTTCATCATGCATTTGTGTTTCTGTTGTGTTAAAAAATGTAGCAGCTTTTGTATAGGAGACCAGTATTTTCGTTAAAGTATTATACTGTGTTCCTATAAAGCAATAGTTGGCTGTGGTCTCTGGACCTCTGGAGAACCCTCAGTAGCATTTTCAGGAGGCTCAAGACCTCAAACTTCTCTTACAATCATGAAGAATTTACTTATTTTTTGACTGTTGGTCACTTGTTATGCTCGTATAAAGGCAAAAGCAAAACTTGCAATTTCTTAATGTGAACCAAGCCTGTGGCACTAAGTTACATCAGAGGTCATGGTATTTTTCCCTGTCACTTACAGTTTGGTTTAAAAACCTTTTATAATTGCCCATGATAAAACAGCAAGGAATAATGTTGGTAAATCTTGGATCATCTTTTTGGTATTATGAAGAAATGAAAAGCTCACATAAAGCATTTCTGCATACTGAAGTATGTTCTCAGAAATTCACTTCGGATTTAGTTGTGAGTTTAACTGTCTTTTTATCATAGAACTCTACTTTTACATGAAACTAGATATATCAATAGAGAACATAGTGGGCCTCGAGGAAAGTGAAGAAATAGTTGTTGCCAATGTCAAATTCAAGCAGTGAATCTAAAACGTTGAGATTTATGCAAGATGTATACCTTCAAATCTGCCTATGACAGACTCTCAGTATCTGGAAGACTTTTTGCTAAGACTGGTGATGATAATAACGAAAGTGTTCTGGATGTTGTAAAAAAAATCTGAACTGGTAATTTCAAAGCTCACTGATGTATATTATGAATCATGTACTCATAAAAGAATTGCTCACTGTGAAAGACACACCAATAAGTGTTATTTTGTAGCAGTTTCAGAGACACAATGTAAAATTCCATTATACCTAACTTAAGAAACTAATCTTTGCAGTGTGTGATGTAAAGTAAAAGATTATCCATATGATCTGTATTTTAAAAACACATTTATATCAAAATATATACAATTATGTGATTGGTTATTCTTCTTATTGTTTCTTCCAAAGGAACTGCCGATGAATCAAGAAAAAGGTGAATTTAATTGTGTTCTATTCAGTCAAATGAGGACTTGTACATCAGTGTAAATAGAGATACATTTTTCAACCAATGTAGAAAGGGAACAGAAATGTAAGAGTTATAAAAGATAGTCATTTTTGTTATGTGTGTTAACAATGTGGTTTTTAATGGGAGTGATCTTGTCCAACAGTTGACATTGTTTGTTATCACAAGATGAGGGAGAAAGCGACTGGCATCTACTAGGCAGAGGACAGCAGTCCTGTAATACATCCTACACTGAGTAGGACAGCCCCCACAACAAACAGTACCTGGCTTAAAATGTCAGTAGATCCACGATCAAGAAATGCTGTTAACACCTCCCACCTGCACACACACAGGCACACACAAACACATATGCATTTAACTCTGTTTTAATTTCTAAACAGAACACATCAATATAATCTATGGAAGCAAATATCCTTTGTGATCTTTAAGAGAATATTTTTCAACAGACCTAATTACAATAACAAGAAACCTGAAATGACTTGCTTCCATCTATTACTAAAAGCACAGCACAACCTCTGATGTTTGCAGCCAGGGCCTGATAATATATAGGTATTCTGTAAATTAAGTTGAAGTATAAGGCAAGTTTTTAAGAGCTCACCTGTATTTTATGTGGTAATATACTGCCAACGTCATACTGTGGGAAGGAAAAAAAATATATGTTATAACCAAGATTATTGGTGAAATTGAAGACATGTTTTCAAGGAGAAACTTCCCATAGACTTGTCTTGCAGTTTCAGAGCAGTATCATATGGGCACTTGCCCCTGTTTCATTTAACTTGCTTATAGTAGACAGATGCCAAATGTTATGCAATGTGACATCAGGACATCTTCTTTTAACTATACATTATTACGTTTTTCTCTGTCATTTGTGTTTCTACCTGTATAACCTCTTTCCCTGGACAAATTCTATAAATGTTCCCAAATACTTAAAACTAAACCACATAATATTTGTTTAAAAAACTTTGAAGCCCGTGCATTTATTTCAGTTGACTTATTCATTATTCACCTGCCCATAATTTTCATTATTTCTCTGAAAGTTAATTAAAAAAATGCTGTAGAACAAAATGAAAATCATTCCTCCAGTACAAGAAAAAGTTTTGTAGTAAATACAAGTGGCCTCCAAACTGATAATAGTTCTTTTATGCTGAAAAGTCAGTGATAGTAATGCAGCCTACATCTGTACAGTACAATATTCATGGGAAATATTTCCAAATTAGTTTAAATAAAGAATAAATAGGCAGACACAACCCTTCAGATCATACATTTCTGTATCTCTAAATTATACATAGGTGCTGTTTATTAGGGTACAAAGGGATTCCCTTGAGTGAGTTATATGCTTTGATTTGCTCTCATTGTTTAAAAGGAAGCTTAACATCATCAAGGGAAGACAAAGCTGAATTTTAAAAGAAGTCCAGAATGTGTTTAAAATTTAAAGTCTGACATCATATGCATCAGGGATGCACATTTTTATAGTATTTCAAACAGTTTATCTCCAAATTGCGTTTAATCATAGACTGACCATCATACATTGAAAAGGTTCACCAAAACTTATTAGAAATTTCATCTAACAACCAACTGTTACAGATAAGGGAACCAAAGCTTGCCCAAAATCCCACCAAATAGTCAGAAGCAATTCTTTTCCTATATAGTATTCTCTGGATCAGTAGTTCCCAAACTTTCCTGCACACTGGAATCACCCAAGGAGCTTTACAGTGATCCTTAATTCCAACTTGGGACATTATGATTAAGTGGCACAGGGAACAATTCGGTACAAGGAGTGTTTGAGAAGTTCCCCCAGGTGATTCCACTATGCAACAATGTTTGTGAATGACTTAAAAGTTAAATGTCACAATCGTTGGGCATGCATTATGTACACTACTACATGTAAACTTCATCCTTCACCCCATAGATATGGGAAAGGGTACTGTAGGCAGGGAAAGAATAAAATAGGAAACTCCTTAGGTTTTATGGCTAATCCTAAATAGAAGGAGTTAAAACTCTCCTGGAAAAATTTCCCTTGGCAATAATGTGAAGGAAAAGGTAGTGAAAAACAAAAGAAAACAACAAAACAAAAAGGCACCAAATGGCTTAGGGGCTTGCACCCAAAACCAGAGAAAGAGCTGACAAGCAGAGTACAAAGAAAGTCTTGTGCACAAAACCGAGGTAGCCTTCCTTTTGTACTTCCTATAGAATTCAGGGAAGCAGACTGGAAAGGAGGAGTGACTAACTCTCGGGGAAAACTTGTGTGTGTTCACACCTATGCACTAGCACACACACATACACATATGTGTTCACTCTAGGGTTAGCATATTATCCACTCTAGGAGCACTGTATCACTACAATACACACACACACATCTCGTTACTAACTCAAATGTAATGATGAATAAGGCACCTCTTAGTCAACCAGCTGTCCACCTTGGAGAAAAGGCCCTCTCAAGGACAAATAGAAGTTACACAAAGCCCTCAAAAGCAATGACATAGGCTAGTGGACCTGGTCCAATACAAATAAATCCCTGGGAACCAAGAGGGCTATGGTAAGGTCTAGGCAGGGCAAGGTGTCCTTGGTACACAATAAAGGTATCCAGGAACAAAGGCCTATGGATCTTCCATGTTTCTCTTGTCAGGGTGGCTATTTTCTCCCTTTCTATTGAAACATGCTTTCAAAACTTTGTATCTTTAATTTGTTATTGTATTAGAGTTTATAATCCAGGTGAGCCACTCACCCCAGTGCAGTGGTGCTCACACAGCACATGAGGTGACACCGCATATGTATTATGGCAAACATTCAAATGCTGGTAACTGGGGTGTCAACAGAGGAAACAGCGATTCTTTTTTCCAAGAGTCATTTCTAAATTGTTAAACTGTAACTCATAGAGAACTATCTTTTCTAGAAATATCCAAATATAAAGCACCTGTTCTTTTTACATTTAACAGTGTCTTGCATCATACATGTTTAGTATAAAGAGGCACACTTTTCATGGGATTCTTTAGTTGCTAAAGAATCCCTTCTACCATGAGTGGATTAAAATAAAAATGGGAAAATCACAGTTAGGCCTTTACAATCAATATAGATGTTTTGCTCCAATATTTGAAAGTGGGAAAGGAAGAGAATAATCATATGGCTGAATTTACCCAACATGGCTGGAATGTTTTAGCAGTAGGGGACCTGTCACTCAGGCCTCTGCAGCATCCCTGTACTCACCATTGTACTATGTTTCTATGATTAGGCTTGCTGAGTGTGCTGTCATCCATCCATATTGAGGAGCAGGAGCTGTAGTTCCTCGTCAGCTGACAGTAGAAGAAAATGTCACAGTAAGTTAGACTCACAAATGTTGGGGCTGTTTCCTTGGTTAAAATGTCAAGTGACAAACCATGAAGGTATTTCTTACAGTGCATGAAAGGTCTGAGGGCAGTGTCATGCATATGGGTCTGCAAAATGTTACTGGGGGAGGCTGTTTCTTTTCAGGGGTGTTGGAGGAGTAGGTTGTAAAATATAGCCCTTATTATGCTACCTATTTTCAAATCTGACAAGCATTTAGTATACATCATTTTATAAATAGTATAAAAAGTTTAAAATAAGATTTTCGACTTTTAGCAAGAAAAACAGCTAAGATTTTCTATTTCTACTGTTAGTAACTAGAATAAAATGTAATGCCTTGCATAATATTGGCACAGTATTAACAGTATAGTACAACAAACAAAAGCTTAACACTTAATTCATTAACTAACACTAAGTGTGTTAATGTGATGAGACAAATATTTCACAGTCAAAGGACTGTGCCAGGGATGCTCAGTCACTAACAAGCCAGGGCGATAGGTCACCTGGACCTGTACCCTTACCAAGAATACACAAGTACTATTTGAAGATTCCCTCACATCTAAAATAGAGGACAAGAACAACTTTGAGAGCTGAACATTCAATTATTTTCTGGGAGGATTTCCATTACATAACTTTGTGGAAAGCCTCAGACACTCAAGATTACATTTAATTCTCTAAAGCTATCTGACACTTATGAGGACATATTTCTGCCTCATTCATGCTATTCGCTGCCTGAGAAGCTTTTTTCGGTGTTTATGTCCTACAGATTTGATCCCACCTACATTCTGGAATACATCTGCCAACAGCTGCATCATAAAACATTTCTCTGAAAGTGTTCCAGTGACAGTGTAAGAGATTGAGCATATTTAATATTTTCCTCAGCATGGGAAAGACCTTAAAGGCATGACCCATTTTGTATAAGTATATGAACATTCTGAGATGGTTAGACAATCTGTCTGGTGATATCAACAACACACAGCACATCTGGGTGAGTACAATTGGTCCACAGGTGAATTCAGATCAAGAATTTAAGAATGAAACTGTCCACGCCCCATTTTCCCATTTTTAAAGATAACTAGAATAGCAAAAAAATTCATAAACATTTCTAAGTGATGCTTAATCATAAAATTTAAAAGAAAAAAATTGTAAAACACTAAATGTCTATCATTCTGGCTTATGTATACCCCCTAGTACACACAATATATACTATCACAGACATTGTTTTTGACATACACTTATCTAATATGCAGTAATGTCAATCACTTAACCTTGAAAACAACTTCACTTATGAAATGGAAAACAATTATTCTTTGCTGTAAGTGAGTAGGAGTAGTCCATTACCATAACGATTCAAACAGATTCATGCATTCACACTTAACAACAAAGTTAGGAAAACAAAAATAATTACACTACCAAATCTGATCTTTTTGGCAATTACACAGCCTGCTGAACATCTGTGATAGAGGACCAAAGTGATACCTCTTTTGTCAAAAAATAAAAATGCAGAAGTCTGGAAACAATGAGGTATTCTCATTTAAGAACTGCAATAATAAAAATAAATTGCATTTTAAAAATTAATGTGACATTTACAAAGTCTATTCAAGCATCGTTTTTCTTCTTCTTTAGTTCACTTTGTCCAGCTCAGATTGTCCCAATTTTCTTCCTGTGCTGCCACACTAAAATATATTAATATGTTGAATTATTTAGGTTTCCCTTGACAAATCTCAAGCATTAGAGCTACCTGGAGATGCTCCTCCAACCTTCCTCGTAAGTATTTCAAGAACTTTCATCTATTTTTAGTTTTAAAAAGCCTATCCAGATGAGATGTCATGGCACATGTTTGTGTCTGTGTGTATTTTGTGTGCAAAAGTCAGCCAGAACCACGTAACAGTGTGCAACCAGAGAGACAGAAGACATGCAAACAAACTTACACAGTGGTCCAAGTAACCCTAAAAGTCTTAGATATCCAGACACTGAATTATCCTCTCAAAATAGTCTCTTTCTGGACAAACTCAAAACATTTTAAATATTCTTTTGGGCCATTTGCTCTCAACATAGATCTGGATGAAAGCCATCAACAGTAACCATGCCAGTACCTTAACATTGAACTGCCTTGAAATTTCTTCAACCAGATTAATTTAATTTCAGCCTTTGACAAAGCCTTTGGATATGAGCAAAATGCAAACTTATTTTCTGCAAATGTAACACACACACACACACACACACACACACACACACACACACACACTTTACATTTCCTATTACTCTCCCACTAGCCAGTTTAAAACTGTTTTTTCTTTTCACTTTTTTCAGTTGTAATAAAAAATACACAGCTGGTATCTCTAGACCTTTCCAAATGATCTTACATGCCACTTATAAAGGCTTCTGAACCATATGGTCAGGTAGCAGCAGCACAGCAATAACCCCACCACCAGCACCAAACTCTGTGTTAGCTACTTTCTCTTCACTGGAAGAAATCATCTGACATCTACAAGTTAAAGGAATCCTTAATATATTGGAGATACATACTTTTAAGGGTCCAAGTTAGTACCTTTATATGTATTTAATTTAAGGGTCCAAGTTAATACCATTATATGTATTTAATTTAAATACATTTGGTTATTGCTTATACTAGACGTTTCTTTAAACCCTCTAGTGCTTACAGTCTAGAGACTTCTGAGGAGGTCAGTGAATCATGGGTGTGTGATACTGAATTAGTTCACTGAATGGTTTAGCATAGTTCTGTGTGGATAATTAGCATAGTTCTGGGTGTGAATGATGGGCTTAATGGAGAGAGAAGATGCACCTGGGTTTGGGTGGCACCAACCAAGAGGCTTATAGCCTGAATTAAATAAAAACTGAAAGGAGGAAGAAGTCTTGCTGCTTCTTACCTGCCATTCCATGCAGTGTATATCCGCTCTCAGGTTCCTCTGCCATGACTTCTTGCTTTGGAGCCAGATGACTGTGGACTAAAACTTCTACAAAATGTGAGCTAAAAGACACCTTACCTCCTTTAACTTGTGGGTGTTGAGTATTTTGTCCCAGCAATAAATAGGTAACTAAGACATACTTACACTTGAACTGCAAGTTTTAATTAAGTTAAAAATGGTGGATTGATTGAACATGCAGCTAGTTCAACTTGCTCCTGATATATTATTTGAACTAAAGGATAAAATAAATGTTACACATGAGACCTGGATCCAGAATGGACATCATTTTTGATGTGTGAAAACTGTAAGTTAAATACTGTTAACTCACATGGGAAAATATTAGGACACTCCGAGGCACAGAGCACCTTGGCATAAAATGTGAAGCAGAGGCCATGAAAAACCATAGGAAATGAATGTAGAGCCATTGTACACCTGTCCTCCATCTCTGCAGGTGCTATGCAGATATTATATTCTATAGACATTAAAACTTAGAGATATCAAGTACATCATGGCTGAGACCTAGACATTAGTGGACGAAACACTGTATGATGAACAGTTTCTGGAAAGCAGGCAGCTTTGATTGTATTCTTCAGGCAGAGGTTGAGGAGCTTTTTCTCTGATATCAGGCTGTCCAAGAGATTTGGCCCCCAGGTGTTGCCCAAAGCCCTGCAAAGGAAAACCTGATTTCACTGCCAAATTCTCACAGTGGAGCCCACTAGTTAAATGAAAGTTTTGCTCACATACAGTATTTCAGTCCAGGGAATGCCAGGGTCACCCATGTATTTCAGGGAATCCTCTGACAAGAGAGATCATTGTAACAGGAACAAAGGAATTTGTGGGAGTGCTAGAAATTCAGGAGCAAATTAGAAGTTTAAAAGTATTTAAATACCAGATTGAAAAAGTTCAATTCAAGGAATAACTAATATTTAATCAGAGCCAAAGGAAAAAGTAGAAAATGGAAAGAGGACGGACATTTGACATGAGTGAAGAAGTACGAGTATGAAAAACACAATATTTAAATAAACAAAGTATAAGAAAATCTAGAGAAAATATCAAGGACTTTTAAAGAAGAGGGAGTTTTCAGACTTTAAAGACCACCCCAAGGAGATGAAAAAGTCAATAACAAACCCTTGTGTTCTTTCAGCATCCCTAAGATAGAGAAGTCTTTAAAAGCTTCCAGAGGAGGGGAGTGGCTATAGCTGGTTATTTTTGAGGTATATAATATGGGGACAACAGAGTTAAGAGCAACACTAGAAATGAGAAGAGCTTTGTGAAAACTGGCATCAACCTGCAAATCTATGTTTTATTAAAAACTATATTTTCCTTTACAGGCTGGCTTCTTAAAATTATCCATTTGCCCTTTCATAGGAGAAAGTTTTCCAGTAGAACAGGGGAGCAAAAGACAGAGGAAACAAAAGAATCTAGGACAGTGAGGACACTTGCAACAGAGCCCTATGGAAGACAGACTTCAAGGAGATATTCCAGGGAAAGTGAAGCAGCAGGCCTAAGGACAAGCCAGTCCCTCTAAGGTAGGAAAGCCTGTGAGGGCAGTCTCTGGGAGAAAACTGAAGCAAGGGTGTTTTAGAATGTGAACAATGTCCTGGCAGGCATGTGACTAATGTTACAGCATTGCGGGGATTGTTGTTAAGAAAACTGTCCCAGTAAGAATACAAGATTGACCTCCCTCAAAGATGAAGAACGTGAAAACAGAAAGAGCTCTGGGGTTCCTTATCCTACTTGGTTTTGTGAACTAATGCTCCTTAGGGATCATCCAGCAACAGTGCAGAGCTGTGTACATTTCAGAAATACTTTAGAGAAAGAATTAAATTATACAAAGGCAGAACAGTGTAACTATTATTACATAACCTCGCAGTAAACAATAGTAATAAATGATAATTAGTTAGTTTAAAATATATGATCTAAATAAATATCAAAAACAAAAATAAAACTGTATTATGCATCTGAAGGAAACTGGGGAGAATAAAGTCATTGCGGAAAGAGGAAGCTAAACATTCACCTGTTATGATGGAAAAACAACGGACAATGCTAAAGACTGATGTGTTAAATAGTTTATTTTGATTTTTAAAAAGATTAAAAATTAAAGCCAAATATTTCATACAAACCTTTAACACTTTGCCCATATTACCACAATGGAACTTAAATATCAGAAACCCTTAAAAATGGAACTTACTAACTCAAAGACTTTGTGAAGTAAATTTAAAACATCTCAGGAAAATACAAAATACATTAAAAATGCAGAAAAGGAAGTCTATGGTCACAGACTGGCTCCTCATTGTATTTGTTTAGAAATCATGGCAGAAACAATCAGATTTACTCAATTTCTTATTATCTATTTACTTACATGCTTGAGATGGGTGTTGTTCCTCTGGTCATGCACTAAGAATAAGAAAAACAAATAAACCTACTTAAGCTATTATAATACAGAATGCCTTAGAAATGTACATTGAACTGGCTACAAAATATCTGATGGATTATAAATATACAGAATATACAAAATGAGTATTTTACTTTTAAAAGTAAATAATCTAGTGCTGGGGATATAGCTCAGTGGCACAGTGCCTGCCTGGGAAGCACAAGGTAGTGAGTTAGAACTGGGTTCCAAAATCAGCCAATTACCTGCCAAGACAAGTTTGATAGAGTGAAAACCAAATATTTATTTATACCTTCTGTTTACCCTAAAAAATGACAGACTGTCCTTACATGAAAGAAAATTGTAAAACTGGATCCTAGATGAACATTAGCTAATAGAAAAAAGTTAACTTATTACATGTCTCTCGTTTTACCAGACTTTCCTGTGTAAATACACAGTACTTTGTAATTGTATATTGCTTAACAGCTTAATTATAAATATCTGATAGTAGACGGCTCTATGAACAAGCTTCTGGTTAGGCACTCACTATTCTCTTTCTGCTCTAGAATTCATAATCTACTAAGTTAATGCGGATGTTACTAAAAATATTAGTGATTCTTTAGACAACTGTAAATTAATCCACCTGAAATATCGAGCTTGAAATGAATGTGCTAATCTAAGTGAACACCCTCTCAATAGCATACAAATTCATTTTGGCCTAATGAAGTACATAAAGCAAACACTCCCGAGTTACATGGGCCACTGCAGCATTTCCCATACTGTTTCCTCTCAAGCTAGACACCTGCATATTCCTTTCCCCTGAAGAGAGGAGTGCGGATCTGTTTGTTTTTTATCCCACACTCTACATGTGAGAGGCACATATATCTCCTGAAGAAATGGAAAAACACAGCAATGCTAACCAGAAATGACCAGCTCAAAAAGAAAATTGTACAGAAGTGGAAATATAGATAAGAATCCCCGTTTTTCTTTGTGCTGCATTTTTCCAAGTTTTACAGGGGCTTCATGCCTTAAATTCTTACCCTTGTAATCAACTGGAAAATTTTGTCATATATCAGACTTTTAACAACACAATAAAATGACAGCAGCAACAACAACAAAGGCAATTTATCCAAACATGAAGAAGAGAAGTTAGGTTGCACAAAGTCCCGCAAATCTGATTCTCACTCTGGAGTAAGCAGGACACAATGATTTACAGTAGTTGCACACATTGCCTTACCCTTAACGTCAGAGTATGTTTACACAGATTTTCTTCATAGGATCAAAACATTTTTGCTAACTCAAAATTTCTGAGAATGCCATAAATCCTAAATCTGGTGTGAGGTAGGCTCACTGGATTATAGCACTGTAACAGTGAGATCGAAGGGATGACTCAGTAGGACTCTCGTTGGCTATATCCACATATATACCTATCTGCATATCTGGATCTATGATTTTCAAAATATGATGTCAAGATTCTCTAAGTGTAAACTAAGTTTTATTATTTCTCCTTAAAACATTTCCTGTGGAAGAAGGGTAAAGGAACAAAATAATAGAGAAAAATAAGTTTAAATCCATGACCCCTTCCTTAATTATGTGGCCTGCTGTAGTGATAAAGAGGCAGCAAAATGTGTTAACAGAGAGTAGACAAGCTCTCAGTTTTAAAGTGACATTAAAAGAAAGTATATAATCAGATGTTAAAAGTAAAATGCACATTTAAAAAATTGAAAAACTGAATCCCATATGTAAGTTCTTGTAAATATTTGTATAATGTATCAACCATGTAAAATGACAATAGTTTTCAGCCTGATCATTGATGGGGAAATGTAGTCTTACCGTATGTGTGAGATTTGCTCAGGAAAATTGTGCCTATCTTTGGATCATCAGAAGGGTTTAATTTCGAAGCTCCTTCTACAGAGAAAAAGAAAAAAATGTCATGACTTGGTTCAGTAGAAATGTAGTTTTCAAAACAGCTTCCCAATACATTTAGGTCATGTTAACAGCATTGTAAAATGATTTAGTTATGAATGTGAATGAAATAAAATGAAGGCAACAGCATAAGGATTCTCCCAGAGAACTGTAAAGTTGTAGAGTCCCTTTTCACATACAGAATAAAACAGGCTATATCTTAGACTTATTATTCTAAAATTTTACCTAGATAATCTAATAGAGCTTTTCCATGAACCAAGTGCACTTTACGATGAATATATGGCCTACGATGGCCTTCTCTGCTGGTATTACTGGCACATTTCAGGAGCGGTTTTGAGTAACAAACACTTACTCTTGCATCATGGATGCACTGTTAGATAGCAGTTCAATGTTTCAAATATTTAAAAACATCAAACGTTCTTTAGACCATGAATGACATGGCTAATTCTAGCTGCATTCAACAAGACAACTCATTTTGATAGCTGTGATGTTTGGAGACTATAAATGATGGAAGATCTAGGATTAAAATCCAAAGTGCTAATCTGTAATCACCTTCCTGAGAAAAACTGTTTTTTAAGAAACTTGTCTATGTACATAGATTTTTGATTCTTCTTTCTGCCCAGAAGTCCACCTTGGAACTAGATTGGGAAAGTCTTCTCTTTAGTAGATATTATAAAACAGAGTCTTAAACTTCAATAATACACAATTTGCTATTATAAAGGATAATAAAAGTCATTATGGCGTGTGCTGTGACTGTCCTCAAAAATCTCGGGCTACTTAACCAGTTTTGTAACAAACTGTACCAATATTCAAAAAAAAAAAAACTAGTGGTTAAGCAATATTTCCTTAAGCACATATTATTAATTATTCTACTTTAGAGTGTTTAGTGGTCCAGTCACACTCTTGTGTATATCCTTGGCCTTGCAAAATTCAAAACGGGCACTGATAGATTAAAAAAAATAATCAGTTTATTAGTGACTAGTGTCTAACTCAGCACTTCACAAGTTTACTTTCTTTTGAATACTGCTTTTGCCCTTCTGAGTACTATGGTTAGAATTTTGGATATATATAATATTGATCTTTCAGATTTAACAAGAATTTGAATAATTGATTTTAAAGGTACAATGACATCACTAGCAACTTACTAAAACCTTTCTTTATTCTTCATGGTAGTTCCTCAATCAAGTTTAGTAAAATAATTCTTATATAAGAACTCCTGAAGAATCCATGAATTTTAGCATATCATTTAGAAGATGAGACAATCTTAGTTATGTGGAAAAATAAAATCACTTTATGCACAAGGTGACAGGTACAGGCTTCCATGGCCATCTGTATTCTAAAGCTTCTGACAACTTTAGGACCACGTCCTACTAAAACACCAATATGTGCACATTTGAATTTCTCAATATAATTTGTAGAATTATTTTACTATTAGAAATAAATTATAGAAAGAGCTATATTAGGTATTGGCACCTTTGTAATGACAGATTTTGAATGTAGTCCAGCAAAACTAAGTATCAAAATCAGATTAATCAATTTAACCCGCCCCACTCTCTCTCTCTGTGTTTCTGTGTTTCTCTATTTCTCTGTCTCTGTCTCTGTCTCTGTCTCTGTCTCTGTCTCTGTCTCTGTCTCCAAGACTATGTATCTGAAGACAAAATTCAAGAAGTTTGGTATTTAAAATAAAGAGAATGTGCAAAAATAAAAGAAATGAGCCCAAGGGAAAGGCTTGCACCCTCTCTAGAGCAATAGAATAGGCATATGGCCCAGGGTTGGTCACTGCATTACAAGTCTCTTGAGTCCTCCCAACAACCAGAGGAGAAAGACACTAGGACTGTTATCTAGCTAACTGGCAGCTGCTGGTTGTGACCCCTGCCATCAGGAATAGTAAATGTTTGGCAGAAGAGATGGACAGAGGGAAGGAGAACTGACATGGGCTTTTGAGAAGGGTTACTTCCTGGGCCTAGTTGTACATGATCAACCTGTATGAACTACCTGGTTATGCAAGTCTATTTTGGAATAAATTTTCTTTAATTTGTAATTGTTAAGGGTGCTGGTTAATCAGCGGTACTGATGATCACACTCAAGGTGGGGACCTACAAGAGTCATTGACTCATTTAACAGATATCATGAACAGCAATTTATAAATGCCAAACTACTGTGTTTAAAAATTATCAACATACCCACCACCATTTGTTTTAGTTGCTTTGATTATGCATGTTTCAAAAGTAGCTCTTGGGCTCAGAAACATAACTCAGTTATGAAAAACATACCTTGCAAGCACAGAGGTCTGGATTTGATCTCCAGAACAATTAAAAAAGAAAAAAATAACATCAATATACAATTCATTGCATATTTTATTACCACAAAATGATCAGCCCTTTGAGCATATTTGCACTTTTGATACCATAACAGTGCAGCAAGGTATTGTGTACTTTATGTAGCCAATCTCCTATTGGTTGAAGATTTAGTCACTCATAAAATTGGATTTTATTATGAGAAAAATATTCATGTACATGGTATTTTCTTTTTTTATAGATAGTATTTTAAAAGAAATCATCTTTTTCTGATTAGGAAAGATTTAAAAGATGCAGGGATTAGACAAAATGGAGTGGATTTCTTAGTTGAATGTACAGGGCTAATTGCTTTTGAAAAGGCATAAGGGCACTTTAGGGTCCGGTGGTACCCATGGTACCGGTGATTTGAACCCCAAGCCCAGATTTGTTTTGTTAAAATCCTGTGAATGTGCATGAGAAACATTACTGTGCCTTTAATTTACAAATATCTGATGACAGTTTGACTACTGTCCCATACATAGTAGTGGAATTTTCACACTTGTTATTTTCACATCAGTTTTATGTATGTTAGGCACTGTATCCATTACTTTGAACATTGTCATTGCACAGTTTTCAGGAAGTACTAGTTTATCATGTGCCCACCACAGTTTTCTATAGTATACTGCTTGCTCTTTCTGCTAATAGTAAACATCATGTGTTGCCATTTCATCCAATAGACATTTATGTTACTAGAGAGTAAACTGATAAGAACTGTATTAATACTCTACAGTGTATTAACTATTTCCAAGAGCCAAAAGGGACACTAATTATATCACATTGCTCTTCTTTCATTATCATGATTGTGTAACTACCAGAGATAAAGCAAATCATTAGGGACCATAAACACACATACAGAGACACACACAGACACACTCACCTGCGTACATACAACTTAAAACAGATGTCAAGAAAATGCAAACTTTGAGTACCATGAAACTTATACAAATGCCTTAAAGATTTTTGGAAATATATACAAATATTTCAAACTATACGTAGAGATTATGATTAAAACTCTTTTGGAATATCCACCAATTTTATATTACGAGTTTAAAATTTAAACTTCACAACACAGTGGTTTGTTATAGGTGAAATACAGCCTTAAAAATTTAACTCAAGTCTACATCTTGTGAACATCTGTGAGAGAAATAAATCTATAAAGCATTACTGATATGTAATATTGCTTTTGTTAATGTCTAAGATACTATGAATGGAGACATCCATCTCAATTGAAGAACTATTAAAAACAGAAAGTAACACACGTGACTTGGAATATATGAAATGCACTACTAAAATATTAAAATTATGCAGCTGGAAACTGTCAAGAATTAATGTTTCTCATCAAAATAATAAAGAGAAAAAAACAATGAACAACAGTGCAGGAGAAAAGCAGGATTAGAAAAAGACACTGATTTCAATAAATACCATTTAAATAGAAGATATTCACAGTTTCTGTGCCAACTGCTGTGCACTTGCTCATTTGAAGGTTACAACATTTACCCAGTTGGTGTATTATTCTTTTTTTTTCTTTTGGTACCCGAGTTTGAACTCATGACTGTGTGCTTGCAAGGCACATGCTTATACCATTGAGCTAAATCACTGGCCAGTCTAATATTCTTTTGCTATGAATTATATTAGTTTTTAAGATCCAAAACACAACCATTGTAGATTCATAATTTCTATGGAGAATGTTGGTTTTGTTGGCATCCTCATTCCACTGCCTGGAGCTGGTTGTGCTGATCAGAGGGTACATCACAGGAAGCAGAGCTCCTGCATACTGTTGCTCAGTGCTCACTCCCACCTGACACCTCTATTGTAGTCTCTGCTGATCTGCAGTCTGAATCAGCTTCTCCATCCATTTTCAGTCCTTCCCTATCTGTTTAATCCTCAGTCTGTGTTTTACTGATTGGGACTGAGATGTGATATTCGTATATTGTATTAATCCTCGTTTTACTTATGTATTACTTAGGAATGCTTTGCTCAATTTCTTTGAATTCTTGTAAATTATCACTTCTTTATTATTACATGACTAGCTTAAATATTTTAATACTCTGGGAGTTGGATGAGAAAGCAAGGTAGCTTTTAAGGCAACACGTATTTCATATTTTAAAGTCCATTTCTACACATCTTATATCTGAAATTTACAGTTGGCTTGCTATTTTTTCTTTAAAAGAGAGCTTCCTCTATAGTATATGAAGTTATATTCAAATATTTCCAGGAAAAAGACACACTATGGTAACTACTATTATGTTGGGTTATTTGGTGGTGAAGCATTAGGTTGCTGAAACAGTCATGCTTTGACCTGTATTGTTATGTTGTTATGTCCTCTTTTATCTCAATCTCTCCCTTATTCATTGAAAAATTATTTAGTTATTTTTTATGTTTTTTTTAACTACAAGGAAAAGTTAAAATTAGCAGGATATATTATAGTAACTTTTTTTGATTTTCTATTAACTGGATTTGAAGTCCTGTAATACTGCTACTATCTTGTTTTGACTGATCAGACTCTGCTCCGTTCTGTATGATAGTATCGTTTGAGGGTGTAAGCAACTACTTTGAAGGCAATAAGATTCACTAAGATGCCGATTCTGTTTTGACTATTATCTCCTTTGGAAGTCCTGTAATGTTTGGAAGTCCTACAATGTTTAAGTTTTATTGTTCTTGTTCTCTACTGCCTTGTTCAACTTTATAATACCTAGTGAGATAGACAATTCTTTTTAAGGAAGCAAGAGGCATTATGGTAACCATTGTTGATAACCTTGTACTCTGTTTATACATCATGTACTATGTCTATCCTTGGTTTTGACTGACAGCTTTGTCTTGCCATATTTGACTTTATTCTCTTCCAAAAAATAAAAGTAATAAGAGCTAAGGAGTAATAAAACCCAAAATGTGTAAATTTTGTTGTAAAAAGAGAGGGAAAAGAAGTGCTCTAACGTATACAACTGCAAGTGTGTTTAGGGGTGTTAAATAGCTGACCATATTAATGTTTTTGGTTGGATCATTGAACACAACTGTTTGCAGTCTCTCTGTTTGAATGTCCACTTTGTATGCTTTGATACTGTGACTTGAGAAACTATCTCTAACATGATAATGTGTAATCTGTTAACTGGTGATTTATTACTTTTTTTTGTAGTTCTGTATTACTTGTACACTTACACCACTTTGATTTGTTTTGTTTTTTCTCTTTTTCCTCTTAAATAAAAAAAATAATTATTTGTATCACAACAACAACAACAACAACAACAACAACAACAACAACAAGAAAGAGAGCTTCCTATGCCAGTAATCTTCCCGTGGTTTCTTGTGACAACTAAAGTCCATAGTAGTCTTTCAAACCCCATTAGGCATACAAAGACTTTGACCCACAGGTTCTTCTTCTGATGTCGTTTGCTGTCCTGAAGCTGCTTTCATGTTTTATGTCTTGGTCAACCGAATTTGTTCCCATTTAACGATATCAAAACAGAGAGGGCTATCCCTCTGCATGGAAGCATTGCCCAACTCAGATCATTCTCACACTTAGGGCTGCTTAGACATCATTTAAATAAAATAGGCATCTTACATTGCCCTGGTAAAAGTGGCCTCCCACACCAACTCTTATCCAATTTCACTTTGTCTCCTCACCTTGCCACCTGACTTTTAAATTATACAAATACTGTCTATCCTTGTCACCTCTAGACTATAAGGTTCATGGTTAGTATGGGGCTGTCTGTACAGCACTATCTGCTCTGTACTGAACACTGATAGGTTCTTCAGTAAACATTTGTTTCAGCGTCCTGAAAACTAGATATTTTTTTTCAAGCTTTACCATGTCTTCTAAGATATCTTCTAATGCTGTTTCTTGCTTTGTCACTTAAGATCATTAAGTTGAAGGTGTCTTAGAATATAGCTATTCAGACGTAGGTGTGAAATGGGCTATAAAGAATGAGAAATGTCCAGAAGAGTGATTCTAATGCTGATCAAAAAATGAAAGTTAACTTTATTTTGTCATGGGAATATTTAATACTGAAATGGTTTCCCTACAAAATAATTCATCCTATAGACTTAAATTATAAGACAAATATACGATTTGAATTTTATACTAAGACAGTGTAACTCATGAATAACCAAAATATTTTTGTCTATGTCCCCAGAAACTAACATTTAATGGAATTGTATGTGATCACATTATAAAGGTTTGCCAAATCATAAGGTATCTTTGAGTATGTGATAGCTCAACTTAATTTGCTAAATGTAAAGTAATACAAAAATTATTTTGTGTATGTCTTAGATCTACACTAGGTTCTTAAATGACATGAAGAAATGTTATCCTCAAATAATTGACAAGAGAACAAAAAAAAACCCATCCATAAAACTCTTCACTTTAATTTTAAAAAAATTTTTAGTAGGCATTTTGAACTTTACAGGGAAATTGATATAAAATTACCTGAAATAAAGACAAAAAGCAGATTTTCAATGTACCTATCTTTTACATTTGTTATCTGACCTTGTGGTATTCCTATCTATGCAAACTGAAGTCAAATAACCCAGGATTTTGGTCACTGTACTCAGTGCCAAAACACTACACTTGTTGCAGTGCTGGGGATCCAGCTGTGCTCTCTGCATGCTACGGAAGTGCCTTAGTGAGCCATTTGCCTGACCCTAAGCATTCAATTGTAAAAGACAAATAGAAAGTAAACTTTAATAAATACAATACAACAGGCTTTATGCTCAAAGTATTTTTCAGTATTTCAGAATCAGTGCTGCTTACCATTCTCCTACCCTCCCCTGCCCTCTTGCCAGCTTCCCCTAATGTTCACCGCATTCTCACCTTCAACTGAGTTCCTAGAACAAGCACTTTGACTTCAGAAGAAAATTTAGGCTATTTTTTAAAACTTTACTTTTGTTCTTATCCATTAAAGTGAATGTACACAAATGACACAGAAAGGTACCTGTTGCCTCTGAGTTTTGCAAAACCTAAATGAAACTAAGTACGATGAGAGTAAGGTCTAAGAGACAGGTCTACATTATGAATACAATATAAGATGCATTCTGGAAAGTTTTCTTTCCCCTGCAAAGATTAAATTTGGCATCTGTACCATATCCATGTCTGTCTGAACTAGGAGGTAGCTAGAAGCACTCAGTCATTTCCTAACTTTGTTTCTTAATCTACAATACAGAGAATGTACAGAGTTTTCTTTGTATTAGAAAGGGTCAAGTGCGATGTATAACACAAGAGAAGATGTAAATCATGAAGAACTCTATAAAGGTCCTATTTATGCTCTTCCTTTTTTTATTAGTACATATTTGCAATACATTACACTTCTAATTTTTTTGGTAAAATCAGTCAGAGTGTTACTTTATACCATCAAGTACAGTGTAAGTTTTCATAAATACTTATGTGCTTTGCCTTTAAAGGTGTACGTTGTACATTTATTCATTCTTTAATGAGTTTTATTGTTCCAAAAATGTTACAAAGGCATGTATATTGGGCTTACTTAGTCTTCTGTTTTTCTTTTGTGTTTTTTGAGACAGAGTCTCATGCTATGTAGTTCAAGCTGGCCTTGAGTTCACTTTGTAGCCCAGGGTGACCTGGAACTTGCAAGGATCCTCCTGCCTCAGCCTCCCGAGTACTGGGATTACAGGCATGAGCCACCATGCCCGGCTTTGGGCTAACTTAGTCTTAACAAAGTAACTAAGAGTCCAACTAAAGTTAAAGTGAAGAACAAACTATAATACATTTCCTATATAGTAATGAAATAAACTCTGCCATTTGGGACTCAGATCTTCCTGATACAATTTTTCTACTTCAGAGACTTAGTGTTATCCTCTAAGTAGAGCTGTCTTTGATGAGCATGTAGATTGATTCCAAGGTGAAGTGCAGCCTGGGGAACTTAGTGATATAGAGAGACCTTGTCCCAAAATACACTTGTTTTTAAAAAAAATACAGGGCTATGGATAGAGAAAGTTACAAATGCTTTGGTTTAAATCCCCAGTACTTCAAAATGGAAAAATAAACAAGGACAGTCTTCATTAAGGAACCAACTTGTAACTCACAATTATTTTTACCAACATTGATCATTTTCCAAATTCTTGGGGGTAAAAATCAAAGATTTCATCTCTTTCCTCTAGCAGGATCCTTTCACTTTGACAATCTTAACAGTTGTGAAGTATTGTACTGGCAGGTGGGGCAGGATAGGAGAAGGGATAAGGAGTAACTGACATTCCAGAGCTGGCAGGGTGTGATACATTCATTCCTAAGGCTTTACTTTCCTAACTAAACCCCAAGTTCATGTTTTGTCTCAAAATTTTGGAGCAACATCTCATGATCTCATGAGTGTTAGGTATTTAAAGTTCCCTTGCGTCAATCTTTTTTTCTGGACTCAAATTTCAATTGGAAGGATGAAACAGCTTCTATAGACCTAATGTCAGGTTATCATGTAAACCCCTATGACAATTTCTACTTGAATTTCCATAGGAAATCCTCAAGTGTTGGGATCTGAACTGCAAGCATATCCTTGCCTTCACTGGTTGAAGCAAAGTAAGAATCAGGGCTTACTTGTCTCATTAACCTTGGTAGCAGTCTAGGTAAGGATAGGTAAATGTTAACATATTTGAACTCTAAGAAAAGGGAATGAATATACTAAAAAGTCCTAATAAAGTTCCACAGGACAAGAGAGAGTGCTAATAACAGAAAGGGTCCATAATAGGATTCAGGAGTGGGTAGGGCCAAGAACTTGGTTGATAGGGGATGGAAAGAGAGTGGCCTCACAGGACAGGACAGAAATAAGTGTAGAAAAGCAAGGCACAGTTGGAGTGAAATCCTTGCCATCAGTGCCCAGCCCTAATAAAGCCAACTCTTGAAAGAAAGTGTTCAAAGCCACCGAGGGTGTGAAAGTTTCACCTAAGGCCAGCCAGTGTCCCCACGTCTGCCCCTGCCTACCTTTGGGCATCTTCCAGTAATGGATATATTCCTGGTGGTGACCATCACTGGCTCCCTTTGAAAACTTCTTGGTCTTGCGGGGAGCAGTTACTTGTGCCCCCGCATCTCCATAGACCTCAGAGTAGCAGTCTGACTCCACTGACCCTTTGCGTTTGCACTGGCCACAATTGGGGGCCACGCAACAGGTCAGAATGTTCCCCATAGGGTGTCACTGCAGCTTTACTCAGCCCCCAATTGACCAGCTCAACAATGCAGAGAAGGGCTCTCTTGCTGTCCCTGTACTTTCGTCTCTGTCCAGCAGGCAGGCCCCACCCTTGACCCCCTTTTCCCAACACCGCTAAGATGATTCGTCCTCTGTGAGCCAGAAAGGGTAGAGATCCCAAAAGTGCTGAGAAGCAAAGCCACTGCCAGAGGTTAGGTCAGTGCTTTCCTTCCTTCAGCCACCTCCTACTAACTGAAAGCACCTGGCTGGCACCAGCCAACTGGAATGCATCCTGTGGTGACCTGGTTACCAGCAGCCAATCACAACTCGGGTTCCATCCACACACCCGCCCAACTGTCACCCAGAACTTGAATCAAAACACACTGGCCCACGTGGGATGCTCAGTCTTTCACACACAGGGTTTAAGATGCCTGTTCCCATTTTTCAGGAGCTGGCTTTTCTATCTTTACTGGTGCTCCAGGGTAAAAGACTTTATAGAAGGCAGCAGTTAGTAAGTGACTAGTTCCATAGGCAACTCAGCCTCCCTGCGTGGTACACCTTTTCTTTTCTCATGGAACTTAGTTGTATTCAAATTTTTGACTGTTTCTGCACATAAATGCTTTTCTAACCTCTTTCAAGCAAATGTTCATTTTTGCCTGTAACGTGAAGCTTTGATATAACTCTGAATAAATATTTCTTGCTGTGTATCTTGAATGACACTCAGGATTCCTCTCATCTATACTTCAAACAGGGAATGAACTGTCCCTTCATCTCTGTCCAACTCTTTTTTTCTTCCCTCTGTTTGTCCCTTTCACATCAGCAGTTCTTGGTATTTCTTTTCTTTTCTTTTATAACTCATAAGGCACAAGTTTCTCCTACAAAATTGAAGAATCATAAAATGGGGCTCCAAGTTCCTGGTTTGATAAGAAGGGTAGCAGTTAACATTTATCAAGTGCTATGTGCATGGTGCTGTTCTAAATAAGGTAGTCACATAAGCCTAAACTGCAATTACATCTAACATTTTATAAATTTTTTAGAAGAAAACTGAGATGCAGTATTCCTTTGCAGTCATGTTCACATGACTGTCTGGGTGGAGCTAGAGTAATCTGGGCCCTCAGGAGTATGGGTCACAATAAGTTTATTAGCCATACTGTATGAAAGTAGGGTAGAAGTCAAAGTTATGTGGAGTGTCAGTGAGTATTAGGTTGTGCTTTAAGGACGAATAATTTTTTCACATAGATTTTAGACATGTTCCCCTCATCAACATACAGTTCCCTCTCTATATGAGGCACTATAGTATGAAACATTTCCAACTGTGAGTGAGTCTGTGCAGGAGAAAAAGCATAGTTTTTAAAAAATTTTATTTTAAACAGGGTAAGCTAATCATAAGAAAGCAGATCAGAGGAAAACAATGTATGTCACACTAATTTCAAAGCAAGACAACAGGATATTATCACTGTCTACCAAAAAGTCTCTTGTCTTCTTCTGAATCGTTGCCCATATTTTCACATATAATTAATTGATGCACAAAAAATAGTGGTCAGAACAGAATGAGGAAGGCATTGGCCTTGAAAACCAGACAATAGGGAAGTCAACAATGTCTTCCATAATTTGTCTTGTTCTCTTCAAAACAGCTATGCATACCTTTTGTATGTTGAAGTTAAAAAGTACAAAACAGGCTCAAGTCAGTCTGAGTTAAGGATAATAGTACTGCTGGATTTCACATAATGATGCTATGGAATCAGCACTGGATACATAGTGTCTCTTTTTCTTCAAAGTAGTTGTTCATTCCATTATGCATTATAGAATCATAAACTATTTAGGAGAAGTTCTATGCATGTATGAGTGTCTACATGTATACCTATGTTTTCTGTATCAGACAGAAAAACAAAACAAAACCAAACAAAACAAATTTGTAGAAAGACCCGAAACAAAAAAGACAAATAAATAACAATAGCAGAGTGCAAATAACTGATGATATAGGCCTTCCAAACAAGGTGGTAGGAGCATAACTAGGTCTGTTATTTTACACAGTGATCTTCAAGAGTTTCTCAGATCACCAGACAATAATATGCACAATTGTTCCAATCTACGAATGCGAACTTTTTCCCAAGAACTTATAGAATTTGTAGTACAATCATTTTAGGTACTCTGTGTATTTATATAAATTTAGATACTTTTTATTTTTCCTTCCTTTTTGTTTTTCCTCACTTAGACATTATTTTTTCCCTGTATGCAGATTCTTATCCTTTCACTGTATTTTATCTTATGTACTCTTACCATTTCTTACACTAGGGAGACTATACAGTATTTACACATGTGAGATCGATGCATTTCACTTATGAGTATGTTCTCAAGTTGCATCCAATTACATATAAAAATCTCCATGTGATCATTCTTTATGGCTGAGTAGTACTCCATTGTATAAAATACCACATTGTTTTATCCTTTCCTCAGTTGATGGGCACTTAGGTTGTTTCCAAGACCTGGTGGTTAGAAATTGTGCTGCTATAAACAAGAGTGCACATACATCACAGTGGTATGCTGTTTTCAGTTCTTCTGGGAATATGCCCAGAAGTGGAATAGATGGGTCAAATGGGATTTCCAATCCCAGATCTTTGAGGAACCCCCAGACTGACCTCCACAGTGGCTGCGCCAGTCTGAACTCCCACCAACAGTGCAGAGATTTCCTTTCCCCCCGCCCCAGCCTCTATAACATTTGTTGTTGGTAGTTTTCTTGATCCTGGCCATTCTTTCTACAGTGAGATGGATTCTCAGTGTGCTTTTAATTTGCATATTTCTCTAATGAGCAAAGATGTAGAACATTTTTTCATATATTTATTTGCCATTTGTTACCTTTTTGTCATTTATTGCCATTTCTTCATCTGAGAATTGTGTATGTGAATGCCCATTTTTGGATTAGGCCTTTGAATTTCGGGAGTCTGATTTTTATAAAATTCTTTATATTTTCAAGACAGATGTCATTTGTCTGAAGGAAACTTCACTAAGATTTTTCCCCAATTTGTGGCTTCTCTTATTTCTATCTCAGTGAGTTTGGTGTCTGTGTATGTTAATGCTATTGATTTTTGATTGTTGGCATTGTATCCAGCTATGTTACTAAATTTGTTTATTATACCTTGGAGTCTTTCAATGGAATTTTGGGGGCCTTCTATATAGAATACCATGTCATCTGCAAATAATGATTTTTAACCTCTTCTTTTCTAATCCTTACTCATTTTATTTCTCTCTCTTTTCTAATTCCTCTGGCTAGTATTTTTAGCATTATTTTGAATAGGAGAGGTGAGAATCCTTGTCTTGCTCCTGATTTTAGAGTAAAGGCTTTCAATTTTTGGCCTTTTAATATGTTGCTGGATGTTAGTTTGTCATAGATGGCTTTTATCATATTGAGGTAAAGACCATGTATTCCAATTTTCTGTAATATTGTTATCATGACTGAGTGTTGGATCTTATCAAAAGTTTCTCCAGCTATAGAAATGATCATATCATTTTTATTTTTGATTCTATTGATATGGAGGATTACATTTATTGATTTGTGTATGTTGAACCATCCCTGCATTCCTGGGATGAATCCCACTTTGTCGTGGTGTAAACTATTCTTGATGGTTTGCTGCATTCTGTTTGCCAGTAATTGACTGAGAATTTTTGCATCTGTGTTCATTAGGGAGATTGGCCTGTGGTTCTCTCTTTTGTTTGGTCTTTCTCTGATTTTGGTGTTAGTGTAATACTTTCTTCCAGGAATGAATTAGGAAGAATTGCTTCCCTTCAATTTCATTGAAGTTTGTGGAGTGTTGGCATTAATTCTTCTTTGAATGTCTTGTAAAATTCTGAAGTGAATCAATCTTGACATGGGCTTCTCTTTGTTGGTAAGGTTTTAATTACATTTTCAATTTCACTAAGTTATTTTGGTGGCTGTTTCAGAAGTTTTACAACTCCTTGTTCCACTTTGGTAATTCATATGTTTCCTAAAATCTGTCCATTTCTCCTGTGTCGTCAAGCCTATGAGAGTAGAGAGAGAGAGTTCAAAATAGGTATCGGTGATCTTCTGTATTTCCACAGGGTCTGTGGTGATTTCATCCTTTTCATTCCTTATTGTATAAATTTGAGTTTTTTTCTTTCCTTGTTTTAATAAGGTTGGCCAGGGGCTTACCAATTTTATTTATTCTTTCAATGAACCAACTCTTTATTTCATTGCTTCTTTGTATCATTTTCTTACTCTCTATTGCATTGGTTTCTACTGTGATATTTATAATTTCCTCCCTTCTTTAACTTTTGGCTTGACTTGTTTTTGTTTTTCAAGATGTTTGAGGTGTAGGATCAGGTTTTTTATTTGTGTTCATTCTGTTTTCCTGATGTGGGAATTCATCATAATAAATTTTCCTCTGAGGACTGCTTTCATTACATCCCACAGGTTCCAGTGAGATGAATTTGTATTTTTGTTTGCTTGTAGGTATTGTTTAATGTCTTTTTAAATTTCCTCTGTGATCCACTGAGTGCTCAGGAATGTATGATTCAATTTCCATGTGTTTGTGTGGTTTTTGCAGTTTCTTTTGTGATTTTCTAATTTCTAATTTCATGGTGCCATGATCCAGTAAAATGCATGTAAGAATTTCAAGTCTTTTGCATTACTCAACCATGTTATGTGGGTAGCATATGGTCTATTTTAGAGAATGCTCCACGTTTTGTGAAGGGAATGTATATTCTGGTGTTGTTGGGTCGGACACTGTATAAGTTCACCAAGTACATATATTCACAGGTGTGATCTAGTTCTGTTATTTCTTTGGTGATTTTCTGTCTAGTTGATCATATCAATGGCATGTGAAGGTCTTCTGTTATAATTTTGTTATTGGTTCTTATTTCTGTTAATATTTCTTTTTATTTGTGAGTGCACCCACGTTTGTTTAATATATATTTAAGACTATTATGTCTTTTTGAAATTTCCCCCAAGTAGTAGATAGTGACCTTCTTTATCTCTTTGGATCATTTTTGTGTTGAAGTTCACATTATCTGCAAACAGAATAGCTATCCCTGCTTTCTTGGGGGTTCCTGTTGCATGGAGTATTGTTTTCCATCCTTGAGTGTCAGTCTATAATTTTCCTTTTGGCTTAGATGGGGTTCTTACATACAGCATATGGTTGGATGTTGTTTCTTGATCTAGTGTGCCAGCCTGTTTCTTTTAATTGGTGCCTTTATGCCATTTACATTAATGGTTATAGCTGTTATATGTTGGTTTAGTTTTGACATGTTAGCTTTCTGCTGTTGATTCTAAACCTTTCCCCAGTGTTTAATTGTTTGCCTTGCTTAGTGGTTTTTTCATATGTCTATCTATAGTGCCTTTCAGTATTTTTGCAGGTT